AGAGGAATGCTCAAATATTTTAATGGTTTTTGCTCATATTACATATATTTGGTGAAATTTGATATTTTTTTCCAAAAACAGAGGGTCGGAGGAGGTCGGCCCGGCGCCTAAGACTAGGTTCCCGACTCTAAGATTCTACTCGGGTATATAGTTTAACTGGAGGAGTTAAAAGGACTATATATAGTTTAACCGGAGGGGTTAAAAGGACTATATATAGTTTAACTGGAGGGGATAAAAGGACTATATGTAGTTTAATCGGAGGGGATAAAAGGACTATATATAGTTTAACTGGGGGGGATAAAAGGACTATATGTAGTTTAACCGGAGGGGATAAGAGGACTATATATAGTTTAACTGGAGGGGATAGGTTAAAAGGACTATATATATAGTTTAACCGGAGGGGTTAAAAGGACTATGTATAGTGTGAAATGACCTATTCACAATCTTACCCTTCAAATCTTTTTATCATTAACAGTGATGAATTCAGATATTTTCAATATCTCTGGTCCTTAAATCCGTAGAGAAATGAAAGATAAATCACAAACAATTGTAAGGGATTTTTTAAAAAGTTCACGTGACCCTCCATGCAAAGATGGCATTCGTCGACTTACAACGGTTCACCTTAAAATGTTGCCTAATCAAAGATGAATTAGATACCAATGTTCATAATCTTAAAAGCTGATTTGTTTTCAAAGTTCAAAAGTTCACCTAGAAAAACGACAATATCTTCCACATTATGATCGTCTCTGAAGTCTTAGACCATCGACTGATTAAAACCTTTTTTTTTTAATAGGACTCGTTATTATCTTGGAAATGTTCTCATTTGTATAATTATTTAAAATGTTTTCGTTTTCCATTTTATTTTACGTTTTATCATGTAAATACACAATCTTATGAACGTTATAAAAATTGAAAATATACAAAGCTAACCTTACCAAGCCTAACTATGGGGCAACAAATTTTCTTGATATTTGTTCAGTGCTTTATACTAATTCACTCAATTATCAATGTTTAGAATAAGGCGGAAAACTTTTTGATTTTTTTTATTAAAATTATAAGAAAAACTAATTTATTAAATCTTTATGCTGAATTCTGCAGAAAATGTTGTTGGTCCTGATCCTGCCATCACATTCTGCCATTTTTCGTTTTTAACTACAGCTTTTGTATCCTCACTTTCATCAAGCACCTCTTCCTCTGTCCATTCCCATTCTGATGCATCGGTGTCATCATCAGACGCTTCATCCTTGATCAACGGACTGACAGACCGCCTTTTAGGATCTTCATCCATGATCAGAGGACTGACAGACTGCCTTATACTTAATTCAGTACTCAGGGGTTTCGGACTTGTTGCCTCTCTTTTTAAATTTTCAAATCTTGCTGTTGTGCTTGCAAGGATCTGTCCAATCTTTGATGAATCTGAAACTGCTGGAGGGGACATAGGAGGTGGCGGAGGTCGGAATGAGGGCGGGGGTGGAGGTGGACCGCTACGAGGGATAGGTAGGACAAAAGTTAAAACATTTGCCATTTCCATTCTTCTCCGAGTTATTGGTGTGGTTTGAATACCTTGGTTTAACTTGTTTGATTCCAATGCTGGGATTGTTTTGGCCATCTTTTTGTCGGATTGAGATTCAGATTCATCTTCACTCTCTGATCCAATGTCACACTCACTATCTGAGCTAGATGAAAGATCATGTGTACTCTGATCCGTGTCCACAAAGACACTCTCATTTGGTGTTTTTGTTGTTAAGTCTTCTTTTATCGTTGAATCAGTGGATTTAACTGCATTGCTGTCAGCAGTATCAGATGTGTCATGCGAAGTTTTATTTTCATGTTTAGTTTTGCGAACAGTTTTCTCAATTGTAACACCACTTTGTTCCTCACACTTTTCAGAAATATCCACTTTTTCTACATCACATGGAGAATCCCTAATCTTTTCAAGAACAACTTTTTGCTCCTCAATATTTTCAGTTGTTTTGACTTCTTCAACTTTTCTTGCTTCAGGAAATTTTATTGCAGCACCTTTGCCTGGCATTGTCTTATTATCTTTCAGAGCAGTTCTACACTTTTCAAATTCTTCAACTTCCTTGTCGTAAAGAATTGAATCTTTCTTGACATGTGAAGCTGTTCCCTTCATTGTCCATGGAACTTTAGCTGCTGGCTTGGGAGAAGGAATTCCATTGTAACTTATTTGTTTGGCTGCAATAGATTTATTCCACATTGCATCCATTTTCTTGGCTTTAGGGGGTCGCCTGTCATTTGGAATGACTGTAGTTAGTTTTGGAGGTTGGTATTCAAAAGTTCTTCCATAGTTTCTAACATTACGAGAGCTTTCTTGAGCCTTCACATCATTTAAAATCCCCATGATTGCCTTTTTAATATCTTTTTCACTTTTACTCTTGGATATTTTTTCTTCCCTGTGGCTTTCTTCGGAGTCTACTCCAGAATCATCAGACTTATCAGAATCATTGTATTTAGAAGGTTCTTGAGAATTATCTTCCTTGTTTTCTTCTTTCAAGGATCCAAGATCATCTGTAATCTTTGGGGTTTCAGGCTCTTTTGTAATAATGCTATCTATCACATCAGTTTTTAATGTTTCAATAACAGAATCATCTGCAGTAAAATCTGTTTTAATTTCATCTGGATGATCATCATCATCCTTTGCTTTGATTGAAGGTTTGAGAGCATTGTTTAAAATACAGCAACTGTTTTCACATCTAGACTCATCAGTCTCAGTGCTGGTCATTGCATCTTTCATCTCATGTATATCGGACTGGGTGAAGGACTCCTTCATATGCTCATCGTCTTTCAGGGTATTTAGCTTTGCTTGAGATCTATCGATCACTTCCTGGAGTATTGCTATGTCAGTGATGTCATTGACTAAGCTGTCAATAATGCTCTCTTTTACTAGCTCTGTCTTATTACTGGTGTCTAGCTCATTGTAAATATTTTTACTCAGAGATAATTTCACCTGTAAACTAAGAAAGGGAATTAGCATAGGGATTGAAAACTCCAGAATTCCCTTCTCCACAGATTGTAATATTTGCAAAACTTGACTATGCTCAAGTTTAGACATTTCTTTTGCAAGCAACTCAGCCTTTTCCTCATCCGTAGTTTCAGTGTCATTCATTCCATTAAGGTATCCCATATCAGTATTATTAACAGCAACTGTCTCAGAAATTTTGATCAGATCTTTTAGCTTTTCTGCTGCTTTCTTTTTAGCTATTATTCCTGCAGGAAGTCTTCTTTCTTTGCTGCTTTTTCGGACAATTTTCAACTTTTCTCTGTGCATCGATATGTCAAGTACTACAGGCACAGAGTCAAAATCTATAGGATCCTCCACAGTCGGCTCTAGGTGTGTGACTGTTTGAGTTGGTTCTTCATTAAATTCAGGTTTATCATTGTCAGCATCATTTGATGTTTCCCCATTCTCCACAGCTTCATTTTCATCCTCTGTTTTACTTTCTTCATTTTCATCTTCTTCATTTACATTTAGATTTTTTCTCGAAAATGACTTTTGTATTTCTTTAGCCACCGACTTAATTAGAGATTTAACATCATTATCCACTTCTGGATAGAAGCCTTCTTTGGACTTATTCACTTCCAAGTCCTCTGTCACTTCCTCAGCTTCTTTTGTTTTCTCCTCGCTCCTTCTCTCACTGGTGTAAACTGCCATCTTGGCACTGGTCCTGGTTAGCAAAGTGTCTAGTTGTGCCTGGAGCTTCAATCTTGCTTCCATCCAACCTAGAGAACAAATCCATTATGTGTTTTTTTAACAGTGTATATATTATTTAAATTGAACTTTTAATGTTTTTTTGCTTACTTGCTGTGGACGTGTTTGTTAGGTTTAAGTTCTTTTTCACATCTGGGACCCTAGACGATAAGATAACATTTAAACTAACTAAACTTGGATATTAAAAAACTGGCTATAGGAAACTCAAATAAAGATTTTAAAGAGCTTTAAAATTTCTTTTAAAATGAAAATTTGGCCAAAAGAGGAATAAAAAACTTACTTTGTAACCATTTGGGTTTTCACTTCATCCTCCATTTTGATGATCTTTTGTTTGATGCTGGGAAACTCAGTCACATCTCCTGAAAGCAAGATTAGAAAAACTTTTAATGACAAAAACTTGACTTTTGATCCGACATTTTTTTGCGGAATTGTTTGTGTCTGTGATTAGCCATATAATCATACCAAATCACGACATTATTGATTTTGAAATGAGGCAATTAAGGTTGTAAATGCAATTCATTAAGGGGGGAGGGGGGTCACTTTAAGTTACGTTAACAGCCCCTTTAATGATTCATTATTAAGATAAATATAAATACCTTCCAAAGCCTCGGTTTTCCATAAGGGAACTGTTGCCTCCTGATCATCTTAAGAAAAAAAAGGTGTAATTGTTAATAAATCAAAAAATGTTTAAAGGGGATGGTGGAGTTGGCACATTTGATGTAGGGGGAGGGGGGCCCTGCCTTCATTTTTGGCTCAAATCTTCCAATTTTTTGGGTGCACGCCTAATTGGTGATCGAAATTCCTAAAATGAAATCAAATTGAATTTTAATGACCTCTAATGACCTCTAATGACCTCCACAAAAGAAAATATTTCAACTATGGCTTTATGCATATCAAACGAAAGCTAGGAACCCAGGGAATACAGTAGCAGCAACAAATCCAGTGGTTGACCTTCTGATGACCTCTTACGATCTCTAATGACCTAAATAACCTCCAAAAATAAAAATGTTTTAACTGTGGCTTTATGAATATCAAACGAAAGCTAGGAACCCCAGGAATACAGTAGCAGCAACAAATCCAGTGGTTGACCTTCTAATGACCTCTTACGATCTCTAATGACCTAAATAACCTCCAAAAATAAAAATGTTTTAACTATGGCTTTATGCGTATCAATTAAAAGCTAGGAACCCCAGGAATACAGTAGCAGCAACGAATTCAGTGTTTGACCTTCTAATGACCTCTAATGACCTAAATGACCTCCAAAAATGATAATGTTTCAACTATGCCTTTATGCATATCAATTAAAAGCTAGGAACCCCAGGAATAAAGTAGCAGCAACAAATCCAGTGTTTGACCTTATAATGACCTTCAACGACCTCTAATGACCTTACTGACCTCCAAAAATTAAACTGTTTTAACTCTGCTGCTATGGTATTTCTTGGGTTCCTATCTTTTGTTTGATATGCATAAAGCCATAGTTAAAACATTTTTATTAGGAGGTTATTTTAGGTTATTATAGGTCGTTAGAGGTCATTAGAAGGTCAAAAACTGGATTCGTTGCTGCTACTGAATTCCTGGGGTTCCTAGTTTTCGTTTGATATGCATAAAGCCATAGTTGAAACATTTTCATTTTTGGAGGTCATTTAGGTCATTAGAGGTCATTAGATGGTCAAACGCTTGATAAAACACTGAATTTGTTGCTGCTACTGTATTCCTGGGGTTCCTAGCTTTCGTTTGATATGCATAAAGCCATAGTTAAAACATTTTCATTTTTGGAGGTCATTTAGGTCATTAGAGGTCGTAAGAGGTCATTAGAAGGTCAAACACTGGATTTGTTGCTGCTTCTGTATTCCCTGGGTTCCTATCTTTCGTTTGATATGCATAAAGCCATAGTTGAAATATTTTCTATTTGTGGAGGTCATTAAGAGGTCATTAGAGGTCATTAAATTTCAATATTATTTATATGTAAATAATACTTTAACTTTCGTAAAAATCTAAAATTTACTATTTTTTTCTTCATTATTTAAGGAGTTCCTCTCATCTGCATCCGTAGTACATTGCTTCCAGTACCTGACAACAAATTAGAACTGTACTAACCATTTTGAGGTACATTTTAAACATTTAAAGTTTTAAGAATTTTATTTAAGGCTCCACAAAAATCTAAAATGTAAATCCTATTTCAAAATTGCATGCTAGACAAGTTACCCAGGTAACACAAGTGAAGAATTTCCCTGGATTATTCAACCGTGGTGACTTTCTTTGAAGAATTTCTGAGGAATTTCTCAAGAATCATTTCCTGTAACTTATTCCTCGGAAATTATCAAGAAATTCCCCAGAATGGGTCACGAAGATGAGAGACTTTTGGGGATCACAGTTTTGAGACTCAGTTTTGGGAAATTTCTGAGAAATTCTTAGGAATTGGTCACCATGTTTACGGATTTCTAGGGGAATTAATTAAGAGAATTAGTTTTGAGAAATTCCTTGGATAGTATTATGAGAAATTCCTCAGAATGGGTTAAAAGAAATTCCTCGGACGTGGTTATGAGAAATTCCTTAGAATGGTTTACGAGAAATTCCTCAGAAGTGCTGTCAACATTTTCACCGGATTTTTCTGTTTAAGAAACCTGGGAATTCCCGCGGATTCCCTGGGAAGATTCCTCGGAATTTCCGCAGATATTCCGCAAAATTGTTACCTGGGTATCTTTTATAACATCATGCGAAGTTTTTATTCTGTCCAAATATATTATCCAAAACGATTTTTCAAAAAAATATTCATTATCAGAGAGTTCAATGGACGAACTATCTAATACATTATTGACCTTTCGAATGCCATGTCAATGTCATTAAGAAATTGAGTAAAGCTTATAAAAATATTTAACAGCCATTCTCTATTATGAGAATGGATTATGAATGGAATGGAATGAGATTATTATAAGAGAGTGGAACTAAAATTTTCTTATGCATGTGAACAGGGGCGTAGTCAGGATTTTTTGGGCTTAGCCCCCATAGCCCCCCCCCCCTTGACTACTTCTCTGCATGTCAAAAAGAAGTGTTATAACGGACACAGACTACATACAGTATCACACGTTTTTGTCGAGAACCCAAAGTGTGACATTTAAAAGATTGAAAATAATCCAAAAAAAAATTCTGCTCAAGATATTTTTTTTGGACTTTTACAAAAAATTTGTAATCCCTGTGGACATGGTGGCTTTTACAGATTATTCCCTGTTATACCTTAGAACGATAGGACTTGGGGGCGGTAAAACAGACGCGGCAGGAGGAGGAGTTGCCGTTGGCATGTTTGAAGCTTCAGAAGGAATAGTTACTGGCGACATCCTTTTTAGGGCATTTCTATTTTAGAAAAAATATCCCCCCTGTTTTTTAAATTTTTGAGGGGTTTTGAATCATTGAATTTGGAAAATAAATGAAAAGTTGAATTTTTGAGTAAGAAGTTTCAAAAGAGGGAAAATCTTGACATGTAGGTCCAATTTTTAATTCCCTCAACATATAATCTTCAAAAATTATTTTTCCCCTAACTCTAACTTATTATTATTCTATTTCAATTCATTCAATTATTGAAGAAAAAAATTCTTATTTACAAAATGAGCCATTCCTTAGTATTTTAACTGAGTTCTGTCTAACTTGTTTTGCCAGCGTCAATTCTTCTTTTCTCTCCATATCCACAGATACTCGTCTAATCAAACACTAAAGGGTTTCCGACAAAACTCGACTTTTGACCTCCAGAAATAGACTTTTGGTTGACTTTATTTTGAGTTTTCTCGTGATTAAAAGTCGTAGTTTACGACGTTTTCTCAGATTTTGATCATATACTGGGTTTCCCACAAAGGATGAGACTTTAATGATGACTCAACCTTTGTGGGTAACCCTATAATCTGTAGTTCAGGAACCATATTATGATTTTCTTTTCTGTAAGTTTTCAAGTTCAGAACAGGTCTTTTAATAAATGTTTAAGTCGTAAATCCAAAACCAGTTTTAACTAGTTGATAAATCCAGTTTTGTTTGCTTGGTTAGATTGATTGATTAATTGATTTATTTTCACATGGTAAGAAATAAGATAAATCAACTATACCTATATTGTGAGTGATTTATTGGAGGGGTCCAAGATTGTTCTCTAGTAAAATTAGAATAGGTTTAAGAAAAAAAGATGTTGCGCCTCAGACTTTAACTTTATAATCCTGATATCTTTTCAACCTGATGTTGTAGACCTTGGATATTTCAAACATTCTGGCAGGGAAAATAGTCAAAGATTGTAACAGATCAGGTTCTACGACTTATTATTTAAGTTTTGAATATTAACAAGCTGTTTTTGAATTACAAGTTTACATATATTGAGTTCTATGTTTATATGTGTATCCATGCTGTTTACCAGCTTGATATAAGTTAAAATTTAAATCGAAAGTCGTCTTCGTTGTATTGATATAATCGCAGCTACCACTGTAGAATATTATAATTTTAGATATGCAATAAGTATCTTTCACGGGGTTTAACAATTGTCATTGTCAGCATTATCTAAATATGAAATTTAAAAAAAAGCAATTACTAAATTTATTAAAATTTTCCTGCTGTAGTTCACATTTTCCCTACTGTTGTGAATACCAGAGTCTTGAGAGTATTTTCTATTTAGAACAGGAGTCCATTCGGGACCAAAATCTTTAGACGGTGTTTCTCCGCGTCCGGGTCCAGGTCCGTAGTCGGAGGGTGGGGTCCAGCCTCGAGGAGGACCGGAAGATTTTCTTCCTTCAGCATACGACGCAGGCCTTTAAAGGTATACTGTGTCCGAATTGAATGAATTTAAGTCGCGTCTCAAATCCCCAAAAACCGGTTTCAATTGAGCGCCAGCCTAAATCTTGATAAATTGAATACAATTTTAAGTGGGACCAACCATATTTGAGCCGCGGCTCAAATTTTTTTATTTCGGACTCTGTTAACTCGATTTCAAGTGACATTCATGGCTTAAAATTGTACCCTTGAAACCTTTCTTTCTCTGTGAAAAAAAACGATATAGCTTCCACACTATTAACAACAGTTTACTTAGGATACTGCATTGTTAATTGGGCATATGGCCCTCGGACTCAATAAATAAAGAACCACTAGAATTTACAACGACACTACTGATTTAAAATAAGTGTTGAAAATAATAATTAAGAAACGATCGACTCTTTAAATCGTCTTTGATATTCGAAAAAATAGGGTATCGAAAAAGTGTACAGTTCATATAAGTTTTCCCAAATTAGGTCCGACAATTGGTTTCACACAAAAGATAAGACTTCAGAGACGACTGTACGGAATGTATAATTACTAAAAACTATATGCAATGTAGAAACCAAAATCAGCCTTCAGATCGTTATATTCCTAAAGTTTTAGGTCTTTATTAAAGTCTCATCTTTTGTTGGTAACCTTGTATACATACACACAACCTTATATACACACAAAGGCCGAGACTGCAAAGACGACCTGAAACTCTTTTAAGCTGAATTAAGTTAAATTAAGTCTTTTGTCTTGAATACAAGATATTTTAGGCTTATTCAATGAAAAGAAAGAAACAAGTTTACCACGCAGAGAATAATCAATATAAGGAAACAGACTGTACAAATTCAGTACAGTCGTCTTACACTTTTATTAGTACACTACATATACGTGCATTGAATATAGTTTTGTTCATATTACCTGGGAGGTTTCCCAATATTAGGAGCTGGAACAGGATCAGACTCTTTGTCAATCTAGGTATTTCTTCATTATAATTTTATATTAAAAAAACCATGCAATAGAACACTAACTAAGAAGTCTATGATATAGTTTTTTTTTATATTTATTAGCAATATATTTGTTGGTAATAAACTACTATGCAGGAGAATATGTTGATCCGATGCAATGCAGGTTGGAGAACTACTGGATTTACACCAGCATATCTTTTCCTTCAAGGATTCATAGTTAGGATTTAAGGAAAAATAGATCTTCTACAGGATGTACTTTTCAAACAGTATTTTTTCAAATTACTGGGGCATCAGAGCCTATATTAAAATTTCCTCTTTGTCTAATTCAAAAATGTACATTATGTAATTCAGTTTTAACCCTGGAAAGGCTGTGGGCGGTGAATCTAATGGGGAGTAAGTCCAGTGCCCCCCCCCCCTTAAAAGAAAGCTTAAATTCCGTGTTCCCATTTGTTTTATGGGACTCATGTACCGTGCCATAAATATATGATTTGATATTACATAAGCTAAATGTTAACAAGCTTACTTCAAAATTATATATTTGTTTATGTAACTATTATGTACTTCACATTCTTACTCACTTCATGGTGAATCGTATTATGCACGTGCTATAAAGCAATAGTCGTGCTAGAAAGTTAAGTTAGCTGTGCATCATAGCACATATGTGTTAAGTAAGATTGGTTCCAAATTTTTTTTTGAATAAATCCAAAATATATTTTTTTCAATTTTAAATGAACCTTCTCTATAAAGAGAAAATTCTGTCCAAAAATTGTTTAACACTACGAACCAACATAATAGTGTTATAAATAGTTATTTGACCTTCGCTCTCCTAGCGGCCAGCTTATTCTGCATCTCATCGATAATAGCTTTGTTCTTAGGTGGTTTTCCATGCCAGGACTTAGGTCGAGATCTTTCCTCTACTCCCGTAGATATTCCTGTAATAGTCATCAATTACAATTTAAAGGGTTTTACATTATGGAATATAGGTCGAGATTTTTCATCATCTTCCGTAGATATTCCTGTAATAGTCATTACAATTACAATTTAAAGGGTTTTACAAAATAGGATATAGGTCGAGATCTTTCCTCTACTCCCGTGGATATTCCTGTAATAATCATTAATTACAATATAAAGGGTTTTTACATCATAGGACTTAGGTCGAGTTCTTTCCTCTACTCCCGTAGATAATACTACATGTAATAATCATTAATTACTGATTAAAGGCTTTCTTATGCTAAACCTAGCTTTAGAGATTTGCGCGTACAATGTGTTGTACAATTTCAAGCGTTTCTGTAAATACTCTCTGATTTAAACTCTATTCCATGTATATTTTCCTTTGCTGCTAATAATAAAGAACGAAAGATCAGTGAAGCAGGAAACCATAATTTTAAATCGGACTGATTAAATTCTGTATTTATCCCACTAAACGTACTAGGTATGCGTCACATTCTAAACGTACTAGGTATGCGTCACATTCTAAACGTACTAGGTATGCGTCACATTCTAAACGTACTAGGTATGCGTCACATTCTAAACGTACTAGGTATGCGTCACATTCTAAACGTACTAGGTATGCGTCACATTCTAAACGTACTAGGTATGCGTCACATTCTAAACGTACTAGGTATGCGTCACATTCTAAACGTACTAGGTATGCGTCACATTCTAAACGTACTAGGTATGCGTCACATTCTAAANGATACGTTACCTGTCCCTTTAAGCTAGAGAAGGGATACGTTACCTGTCCCTTTAAGCTAGAGAAGGGATACGTTACCTGTCCCTTTAAGCTAGAGAAGGGATAACATATATTCGATTTGTCGATGACAATAATTTCCTACATGCCTTTTTAAAGTCGTTTTCACACTTAGTTGAAAATATCAATGTATTTTTAATTTAAATTGCTTAAAATATAGTTTACAATTTTGATTTTTGTGATAGCTTACAAGCTTTGGATGAGTGTGGAAGGAAGCAAATTTTCCGTCAGGAGATATATTGGGGGAAAATTATTGTATTTTACATAATGTAAACATGTTCAAACAAAAGCTCAAGCTTTCTATTTCTGCATTATGCATAAGAAATCATGAATCAAACTAAAATTGTTCGTTAAATCACATTGTCTCTCATCCAGACACTTTCATGTGTTTATGTGTTCATCATTTACGAGTAAATTAACCTTCATTCAATTAAAAGTAGAGCAGATTAAAACCGTTTTTACTTGATAAGAGGTTTTATAAAGCCTGAATTGCATGAAAATATTATTGAGCAGTTTGATGGTGTTAAAATTATCACTAAACGTTTTACACAGTTCTGAATTTTATGCATCAATTATTGAGACTGTACCTACTTGGTGACATGGCTATGCGTTTTATTACTTTACTAATAAATAAAAATTTGTTTGTTAAAGTTTTATCCTATAGCATTTGGCAAATTTTGGATTTACATTCGCACTTCATATAATATGCAATATGCTTGTTTAGGTCTTTTGTCGATTTTGCATGGTATTCCTTATTTCGCTTTATTATGGGGAGTACTGTAGTTCACATCTTTTTTTGATTTAATATGGTATTCTTATTCCGCTTTATTATGGGGATTACTGTAGTTCACATCTTTTTTGATTTGATATGGTATTCTTATTCCGCTTTATTGTGGGGAGTACTGTGGTTCACATCTTTTTTTATTTGATATGGTATTCCCAGGTATTCCTTATTCCGCTTTATTATGGGGAGTACTGTAGTTCACATCTTTTTTTATTTGACATGGTATTCCCAGGTATTCCTTATTCCGCTTTATTATGGGGAGTACTGTAACTAACCTTCGGCACATGCTGGAGTTTCCTTCTCGCCGCAGATCTTTAGTTTAGCTTCATGAAGTGCTTTCCCTAGTCCAGCGACTATCTAACATAAATATACAGTGATCCAATAAAATATTGGAAAAAGAAGACGATAATTGATTATTCCAAAAAATAAGAAACACACAACGTGTGCATTGTTTTTAAACCTATTTCACTTATATGTTGATTTTCAAACTACTGTTAAAACTATTCACATCACTTCTTTGCCATTCGTATGTTTGTTAAGAAAAAACGCGCTGGGTCCACTACACAATTGGTTTACTAGATGGGCGGGTACGAGTAAATGTGTATACGGTACGATCAAGGTCTCTTTTAGACATTACGCTTTATAAGACCTTGGGTAAGATACTACTCTTGTGCATTTTGTTTTTGACAACGTAATACGCACATAACTAAAAAGATAAACTGTCGTCTTTCTATTCAAAGTTTCAAAAATCTCATTGTACAAATGTAAAATTAACCACTTTGTTTATAAATTAAATAAAACATTATTTTACCTTAAACTTATTATCTGGTAAAGATGGTGTGGGGAGGAGGGGGTGGAGCCCCAGAATGAAGAGTGGCAAATCCATTAGAAGGAGGAGGAGGAGGAGGAGGCGGGGCAAATCCATTAGAAGGAGGAGGAGGAGGGGTCGGGGCAATTCCATTAGAAGGAGGAGGAGGAGGAGGAGGAGTCAGGGCTTGCCATTGCATATGCATGCCGAGGATATCAGGGACAAATTTAAATCTCACATTGTCATTTTCACATTTTATAAATCTAAAAGTTTTAATAGTAAAAACTAAATGGTTAGCTGTTCAAAAGAACATTATTCAATTAACCCTTTTTTACATGAAAACCATTATGAAAGGTTGCTGACAATAAAATATTTTTGTTTTTATTTTTGGATATTAGAGACTGTGTCTAAATAAAAATTGAAAATATGAAACATAAAAGTACCAATTGCGAATTTTTGCAGCAGATTATGAAATTGTCATAATTTTCAACCTTTTTATCGATTACATGGAAACCCCCTCACTATTGTTGCTCAAATAAAGATTTCAAGGCATTGATGGTCACTTCAAATTCGTGTACAGTCCCATTTAGTCTCATAATGTGTGTACGAATATCCCAATTTCAATGTTTTAACTGAGTTAAAACGTCAGAAATTCTTGGCAAACACCGCAAAGTTTTATTTTGTATGTAAAAGCAATGCTTTAAATAGATCAAATGATCTCATCTAATTTATATAAAGTCTTAATTGACGTCTGAAACCTGCTTAAAATAGTTCACACTTACTACACACCATAAGTAATCTTTAAAACCAATCTTTTGCGTTAATTGTGTGATTATTTTCGATTTAGTTTTCACTAAATAAGTAAATTACACATTTCTACTTCAGAAACAATGGATGAAGCAGTCAGAATTCCACACTTTTTTATTATTGATTAAAGAAACCATTGTGCTCCTCGTTAAATTATTTCGGGGTCACTTTTAATTGCAATATTCCTATTCAGAGCTATTGTGTTCTGACCCACATGGGCAATGTGTACAATGTTCTAACCCGTACAACTAGTGTGAACAGTGTTCTAAACTACACGACTAGTTGGTACAGTTTTCTGACCACACGGCTAGTGTGTACAGTGTTCTGACCCACCCGGCTAGTGTGTACAGTGTTCTGACCCACACGACTAGTATGTACAGTGATCTGACCCACATCACGTGGATTTAACGGTTCTGTCAATATTCAAGATATCTGTGACTTCCGGTCACAATTTGACCCATTAAACATAATTTTCTATCCTTCTTTCTTATTATTACTGTTTTTACAGTGTTCTGACCCACACGATTATTGTTTACAGTGTTTTGACCCACACAGCTAGTGTGTACAGTGTTCTGACCCACCCAGCTAGTGTGTACAGTGTTCTGACCCACAAAACTAGTGTGTACAGTGTTCTGACCCACACAACTGGTGTTTACAGTGTTTTGACCCACACAGCTAGTGTGTACAGTGTTCTGACCCACCCAGCTAGTGTGTACAGTGTTCTGACCCACACGACTGGTGTGTACAGTATTTGACCCACACAGCTAGTGTGAACGGTGTTCTGACCCACTAGACAGGTGTGTACAATGTTCTGACCCACACAGCTAGTGTGTACAGTATTCTGACCAACAAAACTAGTGTGTACAGTTTTCTGACCCACACGACTGGTGTGTACAGTGTTCTGACCCACACAGCTAGTGTGTACAGTGTTCTGACCCACACAGCTAGTGTGTACACTGTGTACAGTATTTGACCCACACAGCTAGTGTGTGCGGTGTTCTAACCCACTAGACAGGTGTGTACAGTGTTCTGACCCACACAGCGAGTGTTTACAGTATTCTGACCCACAAAACTAGTGTGTACAGTGTTCTGACCCACACGACTGGTGTGTACAGTGTTTTGACCCGCACAGCTAGTGTGTGCGGTGTTCTGACCCACTAGACAGGTGTGTACAGTGTTTTGACCCACACAGCTTGTGTGTACAGTGTTTTGACCCACACAGCTTGTGTGTACAGTGTTCTGACACACAGAACTAGTGTGTACAGTGTTCTGACCACACGGGAGTGTGTGTTCAGTGTTCTGACCCACACAGCTACAATGTTTTGACCCATACGATTAGTGTATACAGTGTTCTTCTGACCCATTCAGCTAGTGTGTACAGTGTTCTGACCCACACAGCTAGTGTGTACAGTGTTCTGTCCTACAGACAGCTTGTGTTTTCAATTTTCTGATCCGCACGGCTAATGTACACTGTATGTTGCCCACTACAGCTGTTATATACAGTGTTCTGACCCATACGGCTTGTGCTGACCAAAATGGGTAGTGTGTGTACACTGAACATTTTATGTTGACCCCAGTATCTAGCTGAGATGCCTAATTCTCACTAAGCTACATTTATGGCATTAAGCCAGCAAGGACACAGTGTCAAACGTTTAAATAGATAGATAGATAGATATATAAATATATTGATATATAGATAGATAGATAGATATATATATATATATATATTGATAGAAAGACAGATAACTATAGATATATAGATAGATACTAGATAGAGTAATGTTTATATCTGATCGAAATTTAACAACCCAAAATTTTTGAATTTTCTAAACTTTTGAAAATGTTTGATCCCGAGAATTTGAAGAATTATTTATGTCCCCTTTTGCATGTTGGTACAGACTACAGTTCTTCAATGAACCGGAGTTTTCAGTAACTTATTCTTTATTATTTAACTTTTTATTTATCAAAAAAGTTTACACCAATCATAATTATATTACATATTACATAAATTTATTTTATAGATAATTTCACAGGACAGATAATATCACATTTTTTCACCGGGTTTGAAGAGAAAAAAAACAATTCCCCAATACCATAGATTAATAACAATACAGATAGAACACTAGATGTAGTCTTCTCAAGATTATGGGGTTTTTCGTTCACAATAACCCTGAGGCTGAAGCCCAAAGGAGTTAAGCGCATGCTGCACTTAATGATAAGAGAGAGAGAGTACGCGCGTAACTCCCTAGGGCTTCTGCCTCAGGGTTATTGTGAACGAAAAACCTCTAAACCTTGAAAAGACGACATCTAGTGTTCTATTTGTATTTTTTTAAATCTATGCTAAAATGTACAAAGCAATCTATAATTCTTTTATTGAATTTTGAAAATATCAATATCAAAGTTATTGATAAATAAAAACATTTAAGAATAATTTACCATGTCTGATTTTTACATATTATCAAAAACTACTGTTGAGTACAAGTTAAACATAATTTTTAATATCATTTCATATCACGTTTAAATATTTACATTTATCTTTCTTCAGAAATGTGATGATAGCTATGAAAGACTGTTATATGAGTTTTTATAGATTATAAAGGAAGAGTTTAAAATTTCAGAATGAATGAGACTGACAAATGAGAAAATTGATACAAATTCGTGAATTACATTCGACTACATAACCTGAAATTGTTCAGTGGTAGACGTTTTTATCAATATAATGAAGACGATTTTAGGTTGAAATTTTAAATTTATATAAACTTTTAAAGAGCATGGATACATAAAAAATGGAAACCAAGAGAATGTGTCAATTAAACAACTTCTCTTATATGACTTGTAAAACTGCGATTAAAAAAGCGTTTTAACAATTAAAACAAGAATAAAAAGTCGTCTTTACCATAATGATAAAATTGCCTACCACCATACATTGACTTACATTGACTGTGTTAATTCTTAGTCCAATAAATGGTCAAATTCTGCTCGAAAGTCAGAGCTTGCTGAACTTTTGAATGATAAGTTTCATATTTGCTGATTAAGAGACCGGAAATGATAAAATATTTGTTTGGGGTAAATTTTCTATTTAAAGAAATGCACTTGTAAGGTTCACCATGGCGGACTCTGTAGCGTTTAATCCAACCTAAAAAAAAGAGAATAATTTGGAGGATTTTTCACTGAAATAAAATACGTTTTTATGTATAATAGGAAGGCAACTATTTGACCCAAGTTAAAATTTGAACATTAAATTCATTTCTCTTAACAAGTTTTTATAAGCTCCTTGTTGAAATTTTTGGTTTAGAAGATGTCTTTTACCTATAATAAGATTTTAATGGGTCTCACTGTAACATGCTTAGAATTTTGTTAATGAAACAATGATAGTAAAATCAGTTTGGTTTTAAATTAGAATAAACCAATACTTTGTGTCTATTTAATACCATGAAAATTTTCCAAGGATAGTTTTTGACTTACAGTGGCAATTTTCAAACTCATTAATTGGTTTCATACTGAACTTTTTCAAAAATTTTGATTTCGGCCAGGAAAGAATAATATACATCAGTTTAGGATAGTATGATTTTTAAGTAAAAGTGTTTTGGCACAATACATAATATCACTTTTCCTGATATACAGTAGGACCCATAAAACTGTAAAATATGAAAACGATATTTTAGAAATATTTTTTGGATTGAAGTTTTTATAAAGCAAATAGTTTTTCAAATTGTGCTAAAATTGACTTATTTTGTTATTTTGTAAGGTGGGTCCGTCATTTACTCATAACTTGAGTTTTACAGTCGTCTTCCTCTTGCGCAATTTTAGGGTTCCACTGTGTATACATAAAAGATAAAATCCTCGTTACCTCCTCGGCCGACGATTGTACTTCTGCTAGTCCAAGAAGAACCATAAATATATATCCACCAGAAAACGCCAAGGCCTAGGAATAGTTTAATCAACCCGTTTGATCCGAGTCAAATATATTGGATTGCAAGTTTAAATCAACCCTCTTGATTCAAGAGTTTATTTTTTTTTTAATTCAAAGAACCCTTGAAAATTTTTATTTGAGATTCTAGTTTCGTCAAAAAAGGTAAAATTTACCCTTTTGATCCGAAAATCTATTGTCGGTTAGAAAAAAAGTATCCCATTGAATCCGACTATCTTATATTAGATAAAACGTTTAAATTAAAAGTCTATTTTTAGAAAATTTCTAAAACTCATCAGAACTTTGATAAGAGACTCTAATTTGTCTAATGTTAGTCAGAAAAATCGAATAAACCCTTTTGATTCAAAAATATAAAAAAAGTAACTCATTGGACTTTAAATTATACTTCTTGAGCCAAGAGTCTAATTTTGGAAAATTCGAATTTATATTTTTTAAGTTAGTCCAAAAAATCAAATTACCCCTTTTGAGTCAAAAATCTAATGTTGGCTAGAATGAAAAAAATAAATAACCCTTTCTATCCGAGAACCTTATATTTGATAGAGAAATTAAATTCACAGCTTCTTAATCCGAGATGTTGAAATTACTTTAAAAAATTTAATTAACCCACTTAATCCGAAAATTAAATTAAATCAATCCTCTTAACCCATTTGATCCGAGAATCTAAAGTTATGAAAAAATCAAATGAACCCATTTGATCCGTGAATCTCTTATTGGATGGAAAATTTAAATAGCCCGAAAGAACCATGAATGTTATTCTTTCTGTATAAAGATCCATGGACAGAAAAAGATAAATTCAATCTTTAGAACCGAGAATCTTGTATTTAGTAGACAAATTAAATTGATCCTCTTAATCCATGAATTTATTGTTGTTTAGCGGAAAAAAAATCGAGGATTTCATATTAGTGAGAAAATTGTAATAATTCTTTGATCCGAAAGCCTAAAAACAAATAAAAAACATTCAAATGATGAATTCAAACCTGCAAAATCCCTGAAACTGGTTTTTGTCGTTCCTTCTCCAAAATCTCAAAGAAGACGACATACATTAAACTTCCTGTTGCAATACCTTGCAGGATTATCAGGGTACCGTTCATCATATTGCTTTCCTAAATACAGTGGTTTAAGCGTTTATATCAATAAAAAATACCGACTTTTATTTTTGCTTTCTAAGAACTATAGCATGTAAACAGAGAAAAGCGGTCAAATTAAGGAGAAAATAAAAAATAATAGATAAAGTGAGACCAGAAAATGTTTCAATATTTTTATATATTTTCTAATTAAAGGATTTGTAAATTATAAATTCAGTTGTTTATTGAATGACTTAAGATAAATTTAGAGTACGGAGTGGGAAGAAAAACTTCTAAATTATCATTTTTCCCAAAAAATATATTTTCATCTATGTAAATTTAAAAATTAAGATAATAAAAATAAACAAAATAAATTACCTGGCCAGGGGAGGTTAGAAGCATTCCAACAATTATTCCAATTGGAGAAACCTAAAATAAATCAGCTAGATACACACAAATTAAGACTTTTATTCTAAATAATAAAGCTCTTTGCTCGGATATATATGCAGGGAATCTAAAAAACGAGGAAATTATGGTCTACAGACTCGTTTGTAATCGGATGTTCAAGAATAAGACCAATTTTTAAAATACAATTTCCGATTCAATGAGTCCAAGTTTAGGCTTGTAGATCTAAAAATGGCAATTTTATAGGTTTCTTAAGTTTCCAACCTGAGTGAGTAAATTTGGAAAAAATGAAGATAATCTCCGTTTGCACAATTTTGTATAAGATTCTTCAGACTTGTTTTTAATCGGATTTTCAAGCTTTAATCCAACTTTAAAATCTACGTACAAATTCCGATAAAATGCATATGAGCCCAATTTTAGGCTTGTGGATGTAAAACATAACAATTTTTTAAGCTCCTACACTTCACTTTACAAACTTGAGGTCAAAATCAGAGAAGAAACAGATGCCCTGGACCCTGCTGTCTCCCAAAAAGGCTATTTTAAAAGTTAGATTAAGGCCCAAAAGTGTCTTGCTGCTAATGGTGGACATTTTGAATAAGAATGTAATAAACTGTAAACTAAACTGTAATAAACTGTGACCTAACATATAGTACAAAATTGTTTTTTATCTTTTACTTTTGACTTCGCTCCAGTTGGAAACTTTAGAAGCCTATAAAATTGTCATTTTTTACTCTACAATTCTAAAATGTCCAATGTCGTTGAATTGTAAATTGTACGTAGATTTTAAAATCCACGTACAATCTCAATCTTGAAAATCCGATTACAAACGAGTCTGTAGACCCTTTTTCTCTTTTTTTGAGACACCTTGATATAAGTTGAAATAGAAAATGGGCGCAAAGTACTCCGAACGACTAGTTTTTTATATTTGTGAAATCACTATAATAGTTGCAACAAATGCACATTACACAATCTTCAGCAACAATTCTGGAGACAAATCGAATAGCAAAGACGACAGCCTTTTCGCAGCTTTCTTCTGCTTTTTATCTGTATTAAGTAATGAAAGGTTAGAAATTTTAGAACATTTACTGAATATATTTCTACAGTCGCCTGCTCATCCGAAAATTTGTTAAAAAACTTTTGTTGATTTTTAAAAATAAAAACAAATAAATCAACCTTAAAGTTGGTTTAAAATGTAATTTTAAAAGAAAAGTCCATTAATTAAAAATTTTGTCATTAAAAGTTTTTAATTACACCCGTTAGCAATTTATTAGGTTTTGGTTCGAAATGCAAGTGTTTGCATGACTGGACATCACAGTTGTCAAGCCTTTCCAGGGCTAGGCCTTGCTCAAGCCAGGGGCCTATTTCAGGCAGTGTTCAAACATGAGGCAGTTAGGCATACAAAGGATTTAAATACACTGTAATGAAATCTACACTTACAGGGTTATCTACACAAAGAATGTGTCTTTAAAGACGACTGTACGGAATCTAATAAGTAATTTCTATACAATTAATGGTTTTCTGAAGACTCCATGGCTGATATCTTGATATTATCATTGGAAAATTTGCAATGATCATCTTCAAAAGACTATTTTTAATGCAGATAGACCAAACCCAATCTTTGACTCGTCACATTTCAAGAATTTTAGGTCGTCGTTCAATTCGTAAGACGATGACTCATTACATGCACGTGTATAAGTTAAAATCTTTAAAATCCTTTCAGATTAGAAAAAATTTAAAATTTCAAAGATGAAATAATATTAGAATTTCGATGACTTGCAATATAAAGCCTGGTATTTCCCGGCTCATGGAATCGTGTTACTGTTACTAATGCAGTGTGCCCATTGTTCATTTTCAGAAGTATTAAAAAAAGGATTTTTTGGGCGTAGGGAGGGGGTTTGATCTTATGGAGCGGAGATTTCGACCATATTGCTCGAAATTATAAACTGAAAGTGAACTTTAAAATTGAGCCTTATATTGCAGAATCCAGGTATCGTTAAGCCTGTACTCGGATTTACAATTTAAAAAAAAAATTTTCTATATTTCCTTCACAACTTTTTATTGAACTGCATTGTGCAAGTCACCGCAATTGAAAATAATTAATCTTGAAATGGATGACCAGATATATATCACACAAGTTGTTAATCAGGCAAAAATTTAAAGGGAAACATTGTGAATCTGACATGTCGCTCTATATATTGAGATTGAAATTGAAAACTAAATTAAATTCTTTATTTTAGATTTAAAATAAGATTTATTTATTTATTGTCATTTAATATCCAATTCTGCAGCAGTGTCAGTGCAAAAAATAATAAGTTTTTTTATCTTGCAAATTATTTGTTTTTTCTGTCTTCAAAAATAATATTTACTCAGGCTATGCTTGATTTCAAGTTTCGGGTTGAATGTGCATGGATCTGCAGTGCGGACTTAAAGAGAATATTTAACTATTTCAAGATACTCAAAATCCCATTTCTTTTTTGCATTATGGAACACATCATGTCTTATTTTAGAAAACTGCAAATAATCTCACACTTCACGTTTTTTTTTTGCAAATACCTTATTTCAAAGATCAACATTTGGCATAGTGTAATACAAGCAAATATTTTAAACAAAAGTTTTAAGACATCATATTGATTAATCTTATTTAAAAGAATGTTCCACAAAAGCATACGAGTCCGAATTTAACGAATTTGAGCCACGTCTTAAATCCACTAAAAACGGGTTTCAATTGAGCGATCGCTTCAATCTTGAAACATTAATTACAATATTTGATGTGGAACCAACAATATTTGAGCCGCGTCTCAAATTTAAGCCGCCGCTCAAATTCTTTAAATTCGGCCTCTGGGTCTCTAAAACGTGGTAATTCCTTCATTGCGTGTGTGGAGGGGGTAGTTTAAGGTATATAGATAGATATATTTACCACACAGAATGTTGTCATATAAAGAACAGAGACTAGAGGTTTCAATGCAGAGCTAAAAAAAAACAGATTTAATTTTGTTAAATGGGCTTTCTTTCGTTTCAACTTGTATATATAATCGTTTTTCTTCCTTGAAAATAATTGATTTTATCTATTTCTTGCATGCGCTTTATAAGAAAACACAATTTGAAAAATCTATTTTTAAAGATAAAATAATATATCTATGATAAGACAAAGTTTTGATTGTGCTGTTGGTAATCAGTCTATTACTGGAGTGTGCTGTTGGTAATCAGTCTATTACTGAAGTGTGCTGTTGGTAATCAGTCTATTACTGGAGTGTGCTGTTGGTAATCAGTCTATTACTGGAGTGTGCTGTTGGTAATCAGTCTATTACTGGAGTGTGCTGTTGGTAATCAGTCTATTACTGGAGAGTCACTTCAAAATTACACATTTTAAGTTTTTAAAGACCTTACATATCTTTAAAGGTGCAGATCCAAATACGTTTAAAGTTTTAAACTTTTTTGCAGATAATTTTATTTTCAACTCAACACCCCCCCACTGACGTCTTAAATTTACTGAAGCATTTCACCCATTGAAATATTTCAATTTGACAATTTATTTAAAATACAAAAATTTATATTATTTCAATTAAAAAATAATTAAATTCTTGGTGAAGTTAGAAATCTGTGAACAGAGAATTATCAATTTATCTTTTTTAAAAACATTTGTATTTTGGATATCTTCTGAAAAAGTCAGATATCTTTTTTCAGAAATTATTATCTAAGTTGGGTCCATACATTTTTGTTAAAACCTTTAAGGCTGACCATTCTTATGTTTTAATGACATCCTATCAGTTTTGATTAAACATACTTTGTTTTTATGAATGCAGGAAATACACAAAACAGGGTGTGTCTTTAACACCATGCTAAGAAGATATACAGGGTTACCCACAAAGGATGAGATTTCAGAGACGACTGCACTGGTTGAATACTGTTTGTTTCCTTATATTTGTCAACCACGTGCAACTATAAACTTGTCACTTTTCATTGCCAAGTAATTTTTTTTGTTACAAAAACTCACTTTCTTGTTATTATTTTATTTATAGATAAGATCCCGATCCCATTAATTTAGAAGGGGGGGGGGGTCATGAGGGCAACTTTCCCCTTCTCCCCCCTCTATATTACCTAGACCACTTCATTCCTAGGCAGCCTGCAATCACCCATTTGTGTGAAGCAAAGGCCAAGAGAAGAAACCATACAGCAGATTCTTTCCTGGAAACAATCAGCTGATAAAATCTATCAGATTTTGATAAAAATGTGATAAATAAAATAAGTAACATGGTAAATAGACAATTGAGCAAAACTAATTAACTGCATAGATTGAAAAATCAGACAGGATGGTTGAGGGATTAATGAATTGGCGTCCTAACAATTTGCAGGATCCAAAGCGAAATTTTATAAAACAACAAAGGAATTAGGAGTTTCTTTCACAAAGAATCGATCGTACTTGTAAAACCCAAATTAAGAAACAAGGTCCGCCAATCGTTACAAAAATCAAAAACTATATTTAAGCCGTGTCTCAACTACCTGGAAACACCAAGAGCAATGCCCTCAAAAAGATCATGGATACACAAAGCTAGGATTACAAGGAAACCTCGGGCTGCATCCTAAATATCAGTTTTTAAATTAATAATAATAAATCCTGCACAATCAGACTCTAAAAAACTCAAAAACAAAAAAATTTAATTGTGAAAATAACTCTAGGAATATGTTTGATTGTCCAATCTTTGTTCATGAACCTCTTGACCACTGGAATGAATTCATCTTGGTTTAAAGGTTCTGTCCACCCCCGACTGAAGTTTACAGGGAAAGCTGGATTTTCAAGTTTTAGAACAATGAGAACCGAAAAACTCTGGAACAAGAAGACGTTTTTTATGACTTAATTTATGACAATGAACATGAAAATTTTTTCGCTGTAAACAGACATTTTACACTTAATTAGTGATTTAGTAAGTTACTAGTTTACAATGAGCTTTTTAACAACAGCATAACTACTCAACCACTGATTTAAAATCGTCTTTCTATTTTAAAGTTCTCATTGTTTCTAATATATTCCTTGTTATTTTGAACAAACTGTTTGTAGTTTTAAAATGCTATTGGAAAATCTAATATTAGGAAGAGCAATTTCCCATTAAAATTCATAAAACCCTCCTATCCTCCACAGTGCTCGAACTGTAGGACAAAGCCGGGCACTTCAGCTAGTTTATTATAAAGAACTCAAATTTTGTCGAGAATTTGTTCTCCCCCTTTTTAAATTCCCTTTACTGGATCAGAGATTTCTGTAAAAGTTGCATCAATTTTCAGGACTAGGTCGACTTTAAAGTGTCGCAACGCTTGACCTTTTTTTCTGTAACTCACTGATACAATTTTAAGCTTTAGTTTTAAGACGTAATTGGCAAAATTCTTATAGATTTTTCTGTGAGAGCCTGTAAACTTTGGATAACTTTGACCAACCTGAATGGTATCAGATGAAGCATTAAATTCATGAGAATGTCCATGTCCTCCTCCTGCTCCTTCCTTCTCTTTATCATGCTTCTCATGTTCAAGTTCATGATCATCATGATGACTTCATAAATTTTAGAATTTCAATTAGTTTATATTTTTTCCTCTTTTCTCTAAAGTTCAAATTTTGTAAAAGAATGTGGTTGTTCTTTGGCCTGTAAATTTTTTGTAATTATTATTTTCCTTAACTGTAGTCTCGTAGTTTAAATAGATCTTTTGATTTGGAGTATAATATGCCTCAATTTAAAGACTTTCTAATAATTTAAAACAAAAATCTCATAATGGTTAAATATATATAAAAAAATCACGTTTTAATCAAAATTCTAATTATGCCTTGAGATTATTCCAAAATGTTCAAGAATACCATGGGCTACTTCCTCAATCATATAAATCATCAAAAACCTATGTATGGTTCAGTTTGAAAATGTTTGATGAGGATGGATGAGTATTAATGAGTATGGATGAGCTTGGATGAATATGGAAAAGAATGAATTTGTATATGAACTATGGATAAGTATGAACGAGAATGAAAAAGTATGAAAAAGAATGAATAAGTATGAAATATAGATAAGTTTGAATAAGAATGAATGTCATTTTTTTTCAAAGCTCTCCATATCCATTCCGGTGGTCTTCTCCTTATAGACTTTGTACATTAAACTTTTTTATTTATATGTAATCCTCCTTTCCCAGAGGTTGTTTTGATCCGTTGTCAAAGCACGGGAATGTTTGTAATACCAACCCGGGAAAGAGGACATGTGGAATGTTAGATACACTTTGACATGATACAAAATACATTGGAGGAGAATAATTTGGCCAAGGTATACTTTACAAATGTGTTAAAAGGGAAAAGGGATTAAGGAGAGTACTGGAAAACATGAAACTATCTGAGCAGGAAAAACCCACAAAAACACCACAAACAGTCTACAAAATTGAAAGTTTCTCAGACCAAATTCGCAAGGCTTCTTAGTTGGTGACTTTTGAAGAGTTGGACATCACTCATGGTGCTGCATACAAAGTTGTAAAGCACGATTTGAAAAATTGTTAAGATTTGATCCAAAGAGGACCTGGGAAAACGTATAGATTACAACTTCAAAAACCCTCAAGGACCATTTCTACAATTTGACTTTTAGGCTGTGACAAGCAATGTTAAAGGGCTCCGGGAGAAAATTGAACCGGTAGAAATATGAGAATGAGTAAGTGTGAACTATGGATAGATATGAATGTAAATGAATGCGTTTGGAAATAACGAATTGCACTGAGTAAAAAGTATGTTCTTTTAATGAATTTAACAAATAACCATTTTTGTTAAAAAAAGATGACATTTAAAGGTCGACCTTCTTAAATGGAGGACCGTCAGTAAAATCATTTTAAAAATCATAAGATGTTGATACATGTCGATTCCTACGGGGGGGGGGGCGCCATGAGCCTCTTAGATTTGCTGTGCAGCACCGAGCCTCCAAAAGTTTTTTTACGCGAAAAAGGAAGATATTAAGAACATGAATTTAATGATGAATTCTCTAAGATTTGTTAAAATCTTTATACCTTGTGATGCAAAATTATTATTTTGAAGAGTTATCTAATTTTTTCTAAAAATATTTCTTGAATAAATTTTTTCAACAAATCAAATTGAATTCATTTCAGAATTTGTTTTCTTAATATCTTCCTTTTCGCGTAAAAACTTTAGAAGCATTAGTAAAAAATTTGTACTAAGGAGGCTCAGTGCTGCGTAGCAAATCTGGGGGGCTCATGGCGGCAGGAGGTTCCCTCCCTTTTCCTACTCGACGTGCTCCTATTCCATAACATTACCCTGCAAGGACTAATATCTCTGGAACATCCATCCCTGAATTAGGAAAAGCTCCGGTAGAAGAGGCGATAAGATAAATCTAAAAATATAATTAAAGAAACTATTGTACACGCAATCATGCATGATCACTCAGCTCAGTTTATGCTGAAGTTCATTATAGGAGTATTGCTTTCAAAAGGATCGACTGTAAGCATATTTTTAAGTGACCCTCATGCATAGATTGCGATGTTCGATTCACAACGGTACCCTTGAAGGCTTTATCTGTTCGATGATATTGAAGATATTTTCGTTTTTCTAGACTTAAAAGTGTTTAATTCTGATAATTTCTTTAAGTTTTCCTGCAGTAGAAATGTGGTAGTTGTTTCTGGAGAGGGAATGAAAAATAATCAAAAAGGAAAATCATACATAAACATTTATATTTAATTCATAGTTGATCAGAAAAAGCTTTCAAGGGTACCGTCGTGTGTTGGACACGCCTCTCTAAAAATGGAGGGTCACTTGAACTTACACTTGCAGTCCTTTTAAGTATAAATGATCATGCTTTAATGTTTAATTAGCTGAATGTATATTATATTAGCTGCGTAGACAAAGGTATTACGAGTACCTTTGTAAATTGGGTTTTTGAATAAAGTATCACTTCAGATTACGTTGACAGCCCCTTTAACTACGATATTTTTTATTTCCCCTTTAAGGTAACATATAACAATACTGCAATAAATATTCCATGTGTGTGCGAGAAATGACGAAGAATTGAGATACAGTTTAATTTCAATTGTTTACACTTTAAGTGTACACTGTTATACAGAATTACAGTGAAACATGACTCTTAACTTTTACCTATTTACATTGGGTTGAAATCAAGATGTTAGTCTTGACTAGATCTAGACAAATCTTTTTCATTAGAACTTTATGACTTCAAACTTTTAAAAATCTATCACCAATTAGATTAATAAATAGGGAAGAGGGGGGTTCCAAATTATACTGTTCAAAGCTAAAACAAATATTTATCTTTTTTGACAGATTTAAGAGTAATCAAAATGATTAATGTTTTCGAGCGATCTGCAAAAAAATCTTTAATAATTTTGGAAAAAATTATTATGCTTGTACTAAAGTTTTGTCTTGACAGAAAAGTTTTGTTCTTGTGTTATTCAAACAGGACATCTGCGTAAAAAATATTATCTTGAATAAAGGGGAGTGAAAAGTTTCTGTCAAACAAGATTTTACTTCTTCTATGTTTTTCAATACCCCCTTTTCCAACGCCATTTTTTAAAGCTCCTCCGCCCCCCCCCCCCCTCCCTCATCGTATTTATCAGCTGACAAAATAAATTTGATGAGTTTTACAATTTTGCAATAACTTAATTTATTATCTTACTCAATAAGATTGTAGTAATTCTTATTTGAGAAGGGGAGGAGGAGGGGGGGGAGATATGAGTAATAAAGGGACTGTTGGCCTAATTTAAAGTGACCCAATACTTGACAAATTATACGCCTGATTCACAATGGTATCCTCTAATTCAGTGTAACCATATCAATAATATCGTTGTTATTTTGCATGAAAACTGTTATTAATTTATAAAGAAACCTTAAAAGACATTAATCAATTATTGATAACTAGGCTTTTAGGCCCATCTTCTAATTCAGTTGTAAACGTTTTCTCTTTGCATAAATTGTAAAACAAAAACAAAACAAAAACCTTTAAAAAAATTTCGTGGATTTCAATATTTACCGACTTTTGTTGGAGGTTAATTTTTGAAACTTTGATCATACATAAACATTGGGGACATGTAAAGTCCCTTACAAAATTTTCGACCGATCGGTTCATCCGTTTTGAAGTTTATTGGATACAAGCAAACATAAACAAACAGACACTAAGACAAGCAAAGTATATATATAGAAAATGAGGATTTCTCAGTCAATCTTTATCAGATAAAAATTAAAGGGTGCCGTTGTTATTCAGACATGCCAATATAGCATTAAAAAGTTACTGCAATTAAGGTGTATACTGCCTAGTCCTATATAGTGCAACATACCTCTCTAACATCGGGGAGCATATGAGTGAGGCAAGAGGTAAGAATAACTCCTCCTCCAAAACATAGAAGAAGAGAATAGAAAAGTTGACGAAGAGGTGACTAAATAGATTATTA